AAATATATAAATATCTTGCCCTCATCCGTCTAAACAGAATGGTATCTTTCTCTCCATAATCCGGTGTTACATGGAATTCCAGTATTTAAACGCGATAAAACATGAAAAATACGTCATCAGTAATACTTGTAGCCATAAAATTTGTCGTATTAGATTAAGATTTAAATAAAAGTCGCTTATATTAATTAATAAAGTATATTATTTTTTAATTATTGCACTAACAGACTGTTTACTGTTTGTCAGGAGCAGCCCTGGCTATATTCCGTTCTCTTCGGCGCTCCTGCTGACGCTCCAACCGTATCTGGTCTCGCTCCTTCACCTCTTCGTCCGCGTCATTTACCTTTTCTTTCCGAATACCGGCTCTTTCTTCTCGGGCTTTCTGCGCCATTTTTCGCATTCTTTCCTCTTTCTCTTCCTTCTCTTTCTGAGCCAGCTTGCGTTCCAGCTGTGCCCTCATTTCTACAGACTCTCTCGCCTAAAAATGAGTCGATTTAAACGCGCAATTGGGAAAAAATATCAGTTATGCTGCTGCACGTTCGATTAATAAAACAGTTTTCCTTAACTGTAACAAGACAATAGTATTTGTAATTTGTTTCGATGCCACGCATTCGAGGTAAGTTTATATAACGTGTCTTTATCGTAATTTTCACTTTCTCCTCCATAAGAAAATTTGTTATACCTTTCTGTCAGCGATGTAAAGCGCCTCGGCCAGTTTGGCAAAATTTTCGTTGATGTGAACCTGTTGCAGTCCACGACCATCGGCGGCTAACCTTTTGTCCAAAGGAATCGTATATCCCTTGGCGTTCTTCCAATTGGAAATACAGGGCGGAATTTTCCACTCTTGTTGTTCTTTCACAGTCACCTAAATTAGAAAAAACAAACCTATGTGAAAAAGCAAAATCGAATTGAAAATTAATTTTAACAATGAAAACAGATTAAAGACGAACCGGACCTCATAAACCAGCACAGTGCTATGAATAAAATGCATAGAATATTTTAAATGTAACAGGAGTCTTAAACGGATCTTACTATCAGAATTCGTTTTCTTCAAACATGGTAAGCTAGTAGCGCCGCAGTGTTATATTGAAAGATTTTAGATAAGAAAATTGTAGTGCACAAAAGCAATTCAAAATTAAGAAACTTCCACAAAGCAATCATCAAAGATAAAAAATTTTATAGGCATGTTCAGACAACTAATTTCGCATTTCTTTAGATGTCTTTTATTACGAATTAAACATAAAAGAGAAAAAACTATTTTTTATTCAAAGTTACAAATTATAATAATGCAGTAGCATATCAAGTTAGCCATAGTGTACTGTAACTGTAAAACGAGCGCACAGATAAATAATGCCCGTTAGAACGGTAATTTGCTTCATTTATTTGCACGCAACGACTTGCTACTCGTTTCTCTAGTTTCTCTTTTCTGCTAGTTGAACCTAAGCAAAATGAGGGAAATCTTTCTCAAGTGAATTTGAGTCAGGAGAAAAATTTACGCTCCTTGCAGCGTCCCTAACGACTCAGATGGAATGACTACCCATTGTGCAACCAGCCACTAGCCATAGCTTCCTTTATTAAGACATGCATTTCGCAACGTTAGCTTCGTTAACTCAGAAACGACCACAAGATTATTCCGCCATGCTCTAGATATTTGTGGACATTTACCTAATTAGCATTTTTCAGCTGTCTGTGCATGAAAGACACTACAGTAATTCCTTGCCTAGAATAAACAGCTGCAACTTCTTTTCATATTTCCTCAATATGGATTAGACAAATAAACACAAGTGCCAAATTTAGATTAGCGCCTCGCCTAAAAAAAACGTTTCAAACTTAAAACATTTCGATTTAGATCTGAATACGTAGCGCATTACGCCAGGAACAAAGCTCTCAGAATTAAATCGTTCAGCATCATCCCACATTCCAACAACAGATGTCTTGATGAAGAATTCAATGTCATCTAGTTTAGTTCTATTTAATCATCGAAGAATGAGTATACAGTTTTCCCTTCTCCAATAGGTAATGGCTTCTAACTCATGGTCTTCTGTGCTCATTTCCAATGACAAAATTACTATTTATGTCATATTTCTAGCGAATTCGTATAACCATATAGTTGACATTAATGAAGGAAAAATAATTACCTTCCTGGTAGGAGAATGCATTACAGGAGCAGGAGGACTTGGAGGCGCCCTGGGAATTTTTTGATTTATCCGAAACCTGGGAGGCTCCATCGGGTCCGATTGCACTTCGACCATGCGAATGATGCGCTGCTGAGCTCCGCTGTTGAACTGTGTCCCTTGCTGGCTAGGGGTGTAGCGAATGTATTGTGCCGGAGCCTGCTTTTCAGCATGGCGAACTGGCAGAGCGGCCGCAATCTTTGTCTGCGTAATTCTCTCCAAAGCTTGTCGCGTCTTATCCGTCGTCTAAACAGGATACATATAATCTGCATCAATTTCGGAATGGCACTATTATTCCTTCGAAGCGATAAGTTAAGGAAGGAGACGAGCAAATATTCCTTACCTCTTTAATCTCTTCTTCTTCCGGTCTCCGAAAAGATTCATCATTTTCGTCAATTATTGTCCCTTTCAAATCACTCAGTTTATTGAAAATGATCTAAACAATTAATATACACAATTAGCACATAATTATATGAATAAATA